ACCAGCCAAGAGCAGGAGATGAGATGAGCTGTCTCAGTTCTAATGGCGAGGGATGAGAAAAAAGGAGAAAATTCTCCTTTCCTCTCCCTTTCGTTCTATTTAGGTCCTTAAGGAATTGGACGATGCCCACTCACATTAGGGAGGGTCATCTCCTGAGTCCACTGATTCAAACACAAAGCTCATCCAAGAACACCCCCACAGGCACATTATGTTTAATCTGGGCACCTCATAGACAGTCAAGTTGATGCACTAAATTAGCCCTTATATACATGGTAACCAGTAAACACACACACACACACACACACACACACACACACACACACACACCATGCTACCCATCTCTTTTTTAAAAAATATTTTACTAAAGATTCCTGTAGGCACACTAACGTGGCAAAACTGTAGAGTTTGGATTATCTATAGATACCAATGAATGGAAATAAGTAATAAGGCATGTGTTCTCTAGTTTCTAAATCACCTTTATGTCTCATCAAAACCAGTAAAATAAGCAGAAAAGAAGCTATTCTCCCCATTTGACTGATAAGGAAAATGCAACTCAAAGAGGTGACTTATTTGATGTCCCTGAGCTGTTGGGTTGGGACTAGAACATAGAGCTTTGTGAGGACTTTTTAGGTGTTCTGTGGGTGAGGGAGTAAAGATGGCATCTGCAGGTGAGGATAGATTAGGAAAGCCTTGGACCAGCCTTGCAAGGGGTTCTGAGCAGACTTTACAAGAGTCATGCTCACTTACATCATCTCAACCTACCATATGATTGTTAATTATATTTCACATTATAGTTATCTCAATAATCTTCATGAAAGTTGGAATTTCTATAATACCTGACCATGGGGGAATGCTTTCTATCAGGCTTCTTGAGGGCGTATAAAGACCACCACCAAATACTCCCCACAAACAAAGTATCGGGAAGAACTCAGTTGCCCAGGATGATTGACAAACATCCACCATGCCTTCCTCATGGGGTTCTCCTGGGACCCTTTGGAACACATGGAGGCCCTGTGATGGAAATCTTCCTGAGATCATTGCTAACCATTGTGGGATGATATTTGGTCTCAGGCCTCTTCATTTAGCTTCTTCCTCACCTAGGATGAAACAATGCACAGTGAGAGGAAGTGGACCATCAGCCCACCTTACCCGGGGCATACACATACACACCTGGTCAGGTTTTATCATTCCATATCATTTTCCAAAGATCAGAGAATGTGGCACATTATTCTATAGTAAGGAAAATAGATGCCCAAAGTGCACAAAAAATGGCCCCAGTGACCAAAAGACATTGCATTCTTTAGCAGCCTGACCCTTTACTAATACCAAGATAAAATTGTCAGGTTTGCCACTACACTGGGTTCCAGGCAAGATTCTAGCTCAGAAAACAAACCTGCAGAAAGCCCTCTTCAAAGGATGCTTGAGAGCACCGGGGGCCGCTGCACAGAGCTGTGGATTGAACAAGCCCAGCCTCTTAATATGGCCAGATGGAGGCTGCCTATAGATCTTCCTTGAAGAGTCTCCTGCCTCCCCTCCCACTTCCCCATTTTATCCTTCCTCAAGGGAAATCTCAGAGCCTCAGGCAAGCAGGGATCTTTGCACACACTCCTTATTGTCTCATTCAGTTTATTTCCTCTGCTTGAGCAGAAACACATGAAAGAAGCCACTTCTGGATTGCCAGGGAAGTAAGAGGAGAGAAAGGTAGAGTCAGTCTTTTGAATTTTAATGGCAGCACATTTCTGACAGGAAGACCCCTGGAAACTCCTGTTAACTCCTCTGGGGGAAGTTGGCTTTCAGGTTTTGCAGTACAATGGGAAATTTATGGAGTGGGCAGAAAGTCTAGGGCTTTGTTCCATCGTGGGAATCTTCAGCTAAAACCACCTGGGAAAGGGAGGTGTAAAGGTGAGGGGGGTAACCACAGGAGTTGGGGAGGCACGTGAACAAACTGCAGCAGGGAACTGGGCAGAAAGCACCAGAATATGAAAGTCTTTTCTTAACAATCGGGAGCATGTCTCACCACCATTCCTAGATAGGTTCTTAGACCACCTTTTAGGACTCTGTGTGGATGCACCTGAGGACATCCAAAGAGATGAGTCTTGAACTCAGTTGATACTAAATAGAAATGGGTAATAGTAATGCAGCAGCTCTCCTGTCCACCAGGTTTTCCAGTGTCGGGACACTTAGTTCTTCAATGCTTTTCTCTTATTGGGTACATTTTGACTCTTGCCCTTTGTATTGCCTTTGGTGGGAGATGGTCAAGGTCAGAGAAGGTAAAAGAAAACTTACTCCAGTTAAAGGTGCTAGTTCCCACCTGCCCTGACAGCCAAGGTGAGAGAACTTGCATAAATTAGGTTGGACCATTAACTGGTCTACTGTTAGAAGCTTTACTGTGGCTAGTCTGCAGTTAATATTCACCCACACAGCCTCCTGGCACTGCCTAATTGCTGTGTAAAAGAGAAGGCCTTCCCCCTCTTTCACATCCATCCTCCCTCCCACCACAACTAGAGACATTTTCATTTAGCAGGTGAACCAAATGGTGAACTGAAAGCTATGCTTAAACTTTAGGGTTGTTTTCTGATGGTTGGTTGTGAGTTAGTTGCACATTTGATGAGCTTCCAGTGAATGTTAACCATTAACTCGCTGATCATTAGTCGCAGCATAGGTGTAAATGTTTGACAGAAGAGCACACACACAGCAGAATGCTAACAAGTCCCCAGAACGAGTTAGGAAGCCAATCGGTGGGAGAGGAAATGGACATATTAAGAGTAGAAATGATCTGTTATGGAAACGGTGGACAGAGTTTCTGTTAAATCATTTGTCCGCTGTTAAATGATTTACATTCTGATGGGACCTGGTAATCCTAGAACTGCAATTCCAAACATTCCTCCACTTCCCAGACCGACGGTCTGTATCAATTACAGCAGCCATAAAGCTCTTTCAGCTGGTTCAACATAAAGAATTATTGTCCCCCATTTTTCCACATGCTTATTAGTCTCTTAGTCCACATTTCTGGGGTGGTTCAGTAGCAAATATTATTATCCAACTTTGAAATTCCTAGACTTGAAAGAGCCTGAGGATATCCTTCCTTCAAAAGATACAGGATTGCTTCAATACATTGTTTTGAGTTCCATGGGCCAATTCTGGACTCCCTCCCCAAACTGGAAAATCCATGGATCAGAGTTTGTTTTATAATTCAAGTGGAGAGTAAATCTAAAAGATAACTTCAATTATAGATACTGTTCTGAGAATATGTTGGCCAAGACTGAGCCCTTATTGATGTGGGGGAATGCAGGTCCCAGGCAAGGTCATGCATTGTATGGGGAGCTAAGCATTTGTTTCCAGATGCAGTGGGAAATGTCTGTAATCCTAACTGAGGTAGGAGGATCACAAATTTGAGGCCAGTTGGAGCAACTTGGGGAGACCCTGTTCCAAAATAAAAACTAAAAAGGGACGGGGATGTTGCTCAGTGGTAGAGCACCCTGAGTTCAATCCCAAGTACTGAAAGAAAGAAGTCAAGAGTTTGTTTCGAGTTCCATAACTTGACCTTGTGACCTTGGGTAAGCCTCTTCATGATTTTGGATTTCTATTCTCAATAAAACATGGGGCTGAGCTTGGTCTCTAAATCTCTCCTACGTCTAACTCTGTCATCCAGTCACTCACTATAGGATCTGGTGATATTTGGGAAAGAAAAAAAAGATAGATATTTCTACTTAATCTTGACATTGATTAACATTTTTATTATTGTTACACGCCAGTGGAATCCAGATTTCCCTTTGCATCTAACATACGAACTATATATAACAATACAGTATTGTGCACTGAGAAGTTAATTAAGAGGGTAGGTCATGTTAAGTGTTTTACCACACACACCAAGACATCTTTGGAGATGATGGACATGTTCATTACCTTGATCACATTGATGGTATCACAGATGTATGTACATGTTAAGTATGTGTAGTTTTCATATGTGTTTATTCTACCTCAATAAAGCTGTTAAAAAAAAAGGTGGACTATAGTTATAGTCATGTGTCACTTAATGCCAGGGATATATTCTGATAAGTGTACTATTAAGTGATTTTTTTTTTACTGTACAAACATCATACTGTACTTACACAAACTCTGACGGTTGTGACATCATTAGGCGATACAATTTTATGAAATCACCATCGTATATGTGATCCACCATTGACCAAAACATGCTTATATAGTGTTTAACTGTATGCATATTTTGAATATGTGTGTGTGTATGTATATATATATATATATATATATATATATATACACACACACACACACACACACTCACAACTGGATTTTTTTAAAAACCCAGAAGTTTATGTTCTTTTTTAAGACCATGTCCCTTGATCACAATTAAGTATTTGGAAGAAGAACTAATAGGACAGAAGCATATTTAGACTAGACTCTATAATAGCTCTGACTGATAGAACCATGATAGAAATGTTCTGTATCTCTGCTACAACATGATAGACACTGGAGACACTGAACCATGAGGCCATGAAAGAAATGTGGCTAGTGCAACTAAGGAACTGTATTTTTAATTTTTTCTAACTTTAATCTTAACATAAGGGGTTAATGCTGTCCCAGTACAACATTTCTTTCAACAGAGCCTTGCTCCTAGTTCTGAAGTAGAATTTACAAAGAAAATTCAATTCGTTATCATGCCACCACATTCCAGTGACTAATCAGATGAACAGGTGGACCACCCATTAATGTCTCATCATGATTTAAAGATGAAGCCTTTGAGGTGACCATATAGGCCCAGGAGCACTGGTCCCTTCTGGCTCAAAGCTGAAAAAACACTGTCAGGGAGTGATGGAGACCAGTAATTCAGAGCAGTGATCTTGGGGACTAAAGACAGTCTATGGGTATTTGAGATTCTGGAAAATCCTCAAATAGGCCAGGTCTCTTTTGAGAGAGATGTCAGAAAGAAGTCATTGTTAAGTTCCAAACTCACCTTCCCTGTTGGGATTCCCTTTCAGGAGCTTATTGATGTCGACAGTGAAGTGGTGTTTGAATTGGCCTCCTATATTTTACAGGTAAGTTGCTCTACAAAAAAGGAAGAGGAAATAAGACTGACCACTCACAGGTGATACTGTTTCCATTATTTGTCTTCCTAAGTTTTTCTAGCTAGAAGCTGGAAGAAGCCATTAGGAATACTGATCCCATGGCAGTAAATAGCAGTTTCTACCATTCCTGAAGTGTTAGCCAACTCTATCACTGTAAAGGAAGCTGTGTGTTTATGAGCCTGGGAGAAACTGAGGTCATTCAATGACCCCATTTTTTTTTCTTTGAAGTTTGGTAACACTCTTCATCCGTGGAGAAAGCCAAGAGAATAGCTAGAATTAATTGCCAAAGACTCGCCCCATCCCCTGGAAAGACAGAAAAATCTTTAGCTTCTGTAAAAAGAGAGAAAGAGAGAGATGGCTTTGAGAGTATTAGCTATAATGATGACAAGGTGAGTTGAAATTGATATCATGAAGTTATTCCATCAACAGATATTTCTAGGACACTGTTAAGTTTCCATGGCTCCTGCCTCTAAGTCTTTGTGTGATGGAGAAATAGTCCACAACACCAAATGGAACAAAAAGTGACATAAGAAGGAGTTCTATCCAGGCAGATGCGAAGTTCAGAAACTTTAAACCTGAACAAGTGAGACCAGGACCAAGCTTTGGAAACTTGCCTTTTGTCATTATGAGTCATGTTCTTTATATTTTACCTTCTACAGTTTGGCCTGGTGTCTCATATTCAGGGAGCAAAGGAACTTTTTCCTTCCTCATGGTATTCCTATAGCAAATTGGATGATAACAATGTATTTTAAAGTCTGTGGCTGAATTTTTGTGTCTCACTGATGTTGCATTTTTTTCTTCCACAGGAGGCAAAGGGGGATTTTTCTAGGTGAGTTTACAAACTTTTTTTTGGCTTAAAAAAATGTATTCAAGGGCTGGGATTGTGGCTCAGTGGTAGAGCACTTGCCTAGCATGCGTGAGGCACTGAGTTCGATCCCCAGCACCACATTAAAAAACTAGATTAAAAAAAAAAAAGATATTGTGTCCATCTACAACTAAAAAATTTTAAAAAATGTATTTAAGGGCTGGGGTTGTGGCTCAGTGGTAGAGCGCTTGCAGCATGTGTGAGACACTGGGTTCGATTCTCAGCACCGCATATAAATAAATAAGTAAAATAAAGGTCCATCAACAACTAAAAAGTATATTTTTAAAAAATGTATTTGCCTTTCTATTAAAAGAAACTATCCTGCCGGTCCTCTGTAGGAGGACAGTTTGTTTATTAATATTTTATGTTAGCGGTGTGATCCAATTTTCAGCTTGTCAATTGAAGCAGATAGATCAGAAAGAGGAAAGATAGTCCTGGGCTGAGTCCATCCTAAGTGAGAAGTCCTCAGGTTATGTCAAGTTCAGAGTCCAGTGTCACCCATGGTCATTATTCTGGGGTTTGATGGGTTGTTCCAGTGTCTCTGTGAAGCCTGGAATTACTACCCAGGTGTTAATATGGTTGCAGGTAACATGACAGCCCTAACAAGTACGTGGATGTCTTTTTTTTCTCTCAATTTAGTCCCTAATCCTCCAGGGACAAAATGCTGTCCCATAGGGAGATGTCTTTCATAGACAGCATAAATATGCCACTTCAACTGTCCTTCCATGTCAAGATACTGCATTGTAGAAAAAGTAAACAGACATAACTACTTGGGAACCTGGGAATGGCTTCAGTAACCCTGTAGTAAACAAACCTGAACCTTGTCATTCATTCCATAAGCTCCACCCATTGACCAACTTGGCTGAAATCGCCCCACAATCTCTCCTGATCCTTACCAAAGCCTTCCCACAGCAGAGGGTGGTAGCTGTCCACCCTAACAGAATTGACTGCTCAAAGACAAATGTTGCTCCTCTTCCTACTCTTTTAAAAATGGAAACAAGTGGAGGGCTGGATTTGGACAGTGGGCTGTAATTTGCTGACCCCAGTCTAAAATGAAGGGACTCCTTCAACTCCATTTGAATATTTGCTTAAGAAGACCTCAAGGCCCCCTTTATTTAGATTTCCCAAGTCCTTGGTAGAAAAAAAAAGTAGTCATATTTTTAATGAATAATGATTGTAAAGAACCTTAGCTGGGGACCTTGAACATGATAGGTGGCCAGTCCCCATCTACTGAATTTGTTGAATGAACCATTGTGGGTCATAGTAACTAGTTTATAACATTTCTTTGTTACTCTCTTCTGACCTTAATTTGGCATTGGAATTTGGGGTTTTGATAAGTGTAAGTTCATATCTACTTACAAAGATTTCTGGAGTCCTGTGAGTAATGGTTTGAAAAACACAAATCCAGTGGATTCCAGTGTCCAGTCTACTTACTCTGAGGGTACTTTTTGGTTTGCCTGCTCTGCACTCTGCTGTAAATATTATTTATTTCTGAGAGTACCCTGACAGGATGGAATGTGAACTGGGAACAGCCTCGTCTGGCCCCAGGGATCCTGGGAACGTGGCCACAGGGGTTGCCAGGGAGGAGGAAGTGCAGGCCTGGCCTGTGCAGTCTTTCATGGCCCCCTAATGAGCTGAGGAATGCCAGCTAGTTGGCTGAATTCAGAGAAAAGGAGAATCCTGGTTGAGCCTCATTTGTCAGAGTGCTGTCTAGGGGTTTGTTTGTAGCTGCAGCTGTCTGAGGAGAAAAATAGCTGTCAGGGGAGGGGAAGGTCGGACACCTTATCTAAAGGTCAGTTTATCTCATCACATAAAACCCACCCCACAGAAGGTGGAGGTGATCTGTTACATTGGGGTCCCTGATACACACAGTCTTCTGGAGCAGGCCCACAGTGAAAAAGACTCTCTTCAGAAGTCCAGAGAAAATAGTGTGCCTGAGGGGTCTGAAATAAGAGAAGTCACTTTGAATTCCTTGTGTGCGCCTCTTCCCGTCAACTGCTGGGACGATCCCCAGAACATTGAAGCTGACCATGTTTGGTTTGGTGGCTGAACATTAGGCAATTTAGATGTCCCATTTCATAAGTTAGTTTTGTACAAAGTGAGAATTGCTGTTAGTCATTAGACTCTAAACCTTAATTGTATAGAACAGTGGCTGTGACTTGGAAACGTACCCTGTAAAAGATGTCTGCCAGAAAGATGGAATCTTGAGGAGGGCTTTTGTATATACAAACACACAGGGCTCAGGTCCTAATTCTAGGATAGTCTTAGATAGATGAACAAATAACCTTTTGGATTAATGGTCACACACAAAAAGCAAATTAACCTTTCAGAGCCTGAGGGGGTCTTGAATCTAAAACTTCCTAAAAGACTATTTTGCCCAGGATGCTATTATTTTTACACTTCCATTTCAGTGACTGAATACAGATAGCATTCAGCTTAAATGACTATTAAAAATCTACAAATTATGGGAACAAATTCCCTAAAGTACCAGAGGAAAAAAAGAGACAAATGAGAGAAGTCAAAAGTGCTGATACACTTCAGTGGAAAAAGAGCTGAAGAAGGACAACCCAGAACCATAGCTGCTTTCTTAGGAAACTTGCAGGCTCCTGTCTTTCTTTTTTTGTCTTCTCGCTTTGTTCAGCAGATCTTACGTAACTCTCGTCCTTCCAGTTAGTGGACATACTGACTTCCTGGTCTCACTGAACCTGACAGTGAAATGTCAGGTTTAGCATTGATGAAAGACAATGACTGAGGGATAGATAAGTGGTATCGCCTATGAGAGGAAGAGATCCATGCCATCCATGTGTATTCAGACATACAGTGGGCAGATGTGTACGCCATCATTAAAGGGTTAGGAAATGGTCTTATCTAAAAATAATGTTTTCTCACTTCTATTATTTTCCACAGCACAGCATGGGTAATCTTGTTTCATTTCCTGGTGTGTGTACATTTAAAAAAAAATTTTTAATTCTCATGTCTGTCAGTGTTCAGGAAATCAGTAGAGTTGGCAGGTCTATGTGAAAACATGTGAATAGCTTCTGAGTCTTTAATCAAGGCAGTTCTAGGAACAAATATCAGGTGGAGAAGAGCCAACACAGTCTAAAAACAAAGGCTCTCATTTAATAGTCACCCTTGAACGCTATTAGACCAACAGACATTACCTGTGATTATACAGCTTTGTCACAAATGCTGCAGTGTTTGAGTGCCTCGCACTGACATTTTAATTCTAAAACTTCTTTTTAGACCCTTGGGTTATTTTAGAAAAATAATATTTTTTAGTACCAAGAGCCCCATTTAATCAACTGACAAGACATTCAAATTTTCTAGTTATGTTCTAATTTAACTGAATAGAAGATTCATTGCTGCACTGTGCTCAGTAAGGTATTAGATATAAGAACTTGATTTTTCCCCCACTACAAGGAAAACCCTCCTTATCCTAGTCTTGAGAATCACCTCACTTGTCACCGTCGGTCAGTCCTTCTGCTATTTCTAGAAATGTGATATACATTTAAAAAAATAATTTTTAAACAATTTTTTAAAATTGAAACATTTTTTAAACTGTTTTATGCTGAATACCAAAAATCATAAATGCCAAAATCACACTCCCCTTGATATAAAGAATCAGCTATACATAAATAGGGACTAGTAAAAACCATCTGCTATGTAGAATTTTTTCTTAACAAGATTTATTGAAACCAGATCAGTGAACTCCATAGCTTTGGGCTGTCTACTGGGACCTGGAAATATCTTTGTTTTAGAGGACCGGATGTATTGATGCTAATCACTAAAACAGGAATCTCCCAGCATGAGATTTACTAGGACCCATCAGCCAACAACACCTGAAAAAGACTGACATAAGGAAATTCCACATAAAGATCCTTGGACTATGTTCAGCATCCCTGGTGGAGTCCTGTTGGGCGGAGCCCATCACATGCTTCAGAGAGAAGCCCAGCAGTCACAGGCTCTGCTTCCAAGCACAGCGACCTAAGGGGAAGTGTGGTTTCGATTGGATATTTGGGTTTCAGTTTATATGACATCCATACAAAGTTAAATATGGGTCTGCTGAGAGTACCAGCTTATTAGAGTTCAGGGGTCAGTATGAAATCTTCTTGTGTCTCTGAGAGATGAATCTGCAAGTTTTTTATTTAAAAAAAGAAAAACATTCCCACTTTCAGAAATAGAGCAATGCTTCTCACTCAATCAATAGAAACAAAAAGCAATTCTTCACTAACAAGGGAAATTGATTTTCACCTCATTTTAGAAGAGGAGTTGGAGTATTTATTTGTGCTGAAAAATTCCCATTTATTTCCAGAGACCACATGTTTATAGGTCCCTGGGAGAGCAATTAGAGACAAAAAGTGAAAAGATATTTTAATATTTTATCCTGTATAAACTGCGGGACTGTGTGGTCACTAGCATGAAGAGAAAGAAACTTTTGTGACACCCCCCAAGGTTCCCTCTTGATTTTCTCTTTTAATCTTGTCTTTTTTAAAAAATTTATTCTGATTTGTTATATATGACAGTAGAATGCATTATAATTCATATTACACACACAGAGTACAATTTTTCATATCTCTGGTTGTACACAAAGTATATTCACATCATTTGTGTCTTCATACATGTACTTAAGATAATGATGACCATCTCATTCCACCCACATACCCTCTCCCTTCCCTTGTCTGCCCTATTTTGAAATGCATTTGTGAATAAGTGAATTAATGTAAACTAAAGCTGGTTTACTAGTCTATGAAAGTTCCCGGTTCATAAAACTTTTTGGTCAGGCCAGAGGATGCAAATCATAGGTCAAAGCAAGAATTTTAGATCAACAGGAGAAAAAGATAATGAGCTAATTTTCTTCTTAAAAACTTTTTTTTAGTACTTTGCAAATCTTTGTATAGATTGCTATCTTTAAAGGTGACAGTTATTTTCTTGTCCAGCTGACAATATAAAGAGTTGGTTAAAGG